CAAATTTCGACGTGTTTGTGTGTGTGTGTTTGTGTCTGTATACGTATGTGTGCCATCTTCATGGGTTCATATATCACGTTCACTAGTTATATTATATAAAAAAAAGTATCTAGTTTTTATAGTTGTGTGTGATTTGACTTGTAAATATTCCTAGCGAGCTAACACGAAGTTATCGGGTTCGAATACAAGTGAAATCTCATTGTTGAAGTTCGTACTAACGGTATTTTAATGATTTTGTAAAAAAAATTTATAATGCTTATTTGATTTCAAAAGTAAAATGTCAAAAAATTTTAAATAATAATTGAACCGGACCTCAATATTTGACCCGACAGTGAAAATAATAATAATAATAAATAATATAATTTTTCGTTTTTTAACTTTCATTTTTCCTCTCTCTTCCTTCCTTTCTCTCTCTCTCTCTCTCTCTCTTTCTCTCTCTCTCTCTCTCTCTCTCATCTCTCACAATAATCCTAATCCCAAATTAGTTTCTATTTATAAATATTCACTCAGAACAAAGTTATGAAATTATAGCTTAGAAGGATTTTCCATAAAAAAAAAAAGTTATAAACCGTATTATTAACTTTTAAAAGTCAAACCGCTGAAACATTTCTTCAAAAAAAATATACGAAGAACAAAGCTGTGCTATTATTTCAAAACTTGGGAGAACAAAGAGATTCAATGCCTATACAAAGAATCAACAATCGATTACATCAAAATTGACAGCATCCTCACAAAATCAGGTTCCCTAAGATTATCGCTCAAACCATTAGAGAAAGAAAGATTTGAATCGTGTTTCAATCATGTCGTTTGGCTGGAAAGTCAGGGCACAATTATCTCCAAAATAAAAACCGTCATCAAAGTTAACAACATCTTTCGTTGGTCAAAAACTACGGAGAATCTTGCTGGAGCCCTCTTCAAATTTGTTTGAAAATATTTAGTGCAGCAACTGCCGACAAACGCTAATTTACTTAAATGCGGCAAAACACCAAGCCCTCTCTGTGGCCCTCTCTGTGGCCCTCTCTGTGGCCCTCTCTGTGGCCCTCTCTGTGGCCCTCTCTGTGGCCCTCTCTGTGGCCCTCTCTGTGGCCCTCTCTGTGGCCCTCTCTGTGGCCCTCTCTGTGGCTCTCGGCAGACAAATAAGCATGTGGTTTATAACTGTAGTTCCGCCTGCATTCTAGCAAGATACACCGAAAGACACAACAATATTTTAGCCGCGATCACCAACCGGTTGAAAGTATTTGCGCCTGCCAATTGTCGGCTATTTTCAGATTTGAAATTTGACGATGTTCAGCCAACATCAGGTCTGTCCAACACCTTACGACCCGACGTAGCCATACTGAAAGGTGACAATCGAGATTCTGAAGCTAACGGTGTGTCATGAAAGCAACCTGGAATCATCCAGACAATATAAGATAGATAAATATTTCGATAATTTGTATAGTTATTTAAATGACCATTACAAACACTACTCGTTAATTATAAATTGGTACTTTCGAAATATCACCAATTGGCTTTTATAACAACTTTAATCTTACATTGTTTAAAATTTTCTGGCCTGTTTCTTTAAAAGATGAGTTGGTAGAATCTGTTGTGAGGTTATCATATCTGTACTTTATCTTTTGAAATTTAGCGTGTGGTCTTCATTTAAATATTTTAACATTTCATTGTTTTAATCATTTATTAACCTGGCTCCGAAAAAATGTGATTTGAATTTTGTTTTAGGTACTAAAGTTCTGTCAACATTTAAAAACAAACTGAAGAACAATTTACTGAAACATAATTAAAAATTCTAATTTTTAACTTTTAAGGATATAGTGGATTATTCGTGAAACAATTTTAGTTCCTAAACATTATCATTTCTCTTTTACGAAACTTTTAGTTCAAATTTCATTTTGTTTTAAACTATTTGTAAGGTGGCCATGCTAGATGAGTTACCTGATAACTAGATCATGGTCATCCTGTCTTCTTTTCATATTCTTGAAGCAAATAAAAAAATATCGTATCGTATCGTATAAAAGACTTCTTTCTCATTCTTTGCTGTATGTACACACAACGTCGGTATGATGTGAGTTTCGCGATAAATAAAAATAAATACTAATAATATTATTATTATTATTACTACTACTACTACTATAATTATTTACAATTAATTATAAATTATGAAGACTTTGATCGTAATAAAATAAAACTGACCCAGACCTACGCACGTAATTATTTCTTAGGATTTTTTACGAATCGGAATATACAAAAACGAATGAATTAATAATTTACAATAACAGATAACAGATAACAATAATAGTCCGTCAGCAAATATCAAATAGTAACATAAACTACTACAGTATGAACGTTACAAACAGCCACAACCACAATCGCGTCGACTACAACAACAATCGCGTCAGCCACAACAACCACATCAACAGCCACAACAACAGCCACAATAGCCACCTCAGCAACGTCATCAGCAGCAGCAACAACAACAACAGAATTCCAAGACCCACAGCACAACAATCGCTGTCCCTGGATGTGATTGGTCGTCGTCATGGTGGCTGCGATGGTGACGTCATACGAAGCAGCGAGTGGACGAGGTTAACTGGCGCGAGGTCCTCTGTTTCTCAGTATTACTTCAATCGTGATAGGTCCATTATTAGTAGGTTGGTTCAGTGAATGAACTTCGTTCGTTCGTTTGGTTTTTGTCCGTTCGTTTGTTCCTTTCTTAATAAATTTGTTCACTCACTCTTTCGTTCATTCATTCATTCATTTATTCATTCGTTCGTTCATTAGATCTCCATCAGTTGTGATGGCGGCCTTAGCAGGTAGATTGGATGAACACTTGAACGCCGCCCACGCGAATTATAATATCGGTCTATTATTTTTTCATTCATTCATTCGTTCATTCATTCGTTCATTCATTCGTTCATTCATTCAATTGTTGATTCATTCTTCGTTCATTTATTCATTCATTCATTCGTTCGTTCGTTCGTTCATTCATTCAATTGCTCATTCATTCTTCGTTCATTCATTAATTCATTCGTTCATTCATTCGTTTATTAAATTCTTTTCGTTTATTAATATATCCAATCATTCATTCGATCATTCATTCATCCGAACAGTGTACAATTAATTTAAGGATCTGCGAAACATTCATTCGTCCAATCAGACATTTCGAGAACACATCCAACCAATCAACTAACCAACCAATCAACCAACCAAACAACCAGCTAACCAACCAACAAACTAATCAACCAGATCAATCAACAAGATATTTGTGGCCTCTAACAAATCAACTAATCGTTTGACAAATCGATCGATCGATCGATCAACCAACAACCAACCAATGATCAATGAAACCAATCAATCAACTAACCAATCAATCAACCAACCAATCAACCAATCAATCAACTAATCAATCAATCAAACAACCAATCAATCAATTAACCAATCAAACATCCAACCAATCAGATCAATCGACAAGATGTTTGTGTCTTCTGTGCAAAATGTTTCCCCATAGTAACAGATTACTGCATAGCAAGCAGTCGGCTAAGAAGGTTGTGACGGGCCTGATCCTTGCCGGAGTTGTTTTTAAAGTTGCATGCTGGCTCTGGAAAAGTTGATTGATTGATTGATTGATTGATTGATTGATTGATTGATTGATTGATTGATTGATTGATTGATTGATTGATGAATGGATGAATTCAAAAATTACAATAAACATTCAAATATTTATCGTCTTTCAAGCGCTTTTTACTAAACATTTTCTCTTTAAAATCAAATTTATTTCAAAAAAAAAATGTTTCACAAATAAAAAATTTATATCCACACGCGCACACACACACACACACACACAAACACAGACGCACACACTCACATGCATAAAAATACACATATCAATTTTTCTTTCAACAAAACTTTTTACGGTATTTTTTAATTTGTTAATATTTGAAAAAAAACGAACCAAAAATCAAAGATTATGAATAAATAAAAACGGAAATAGAACAAAAAAAACAAAGATAACAAATATCGAATCGATTAAATTTAATATGGTCGATATATATGAGGCCCGAACACGATCCAAGAAAAAATTTATAAATAAAACAATTAAATAAAAAATATTATTTAGTGAGTGAATGAATGAATGAATGAATGAATGAATGAATGAATGAATGAATGAATGAATAGATGGATGGATAGATGAATGGATGGATGGATGAATAAATGGATGAATAAATGAATGAACGAACGGACGAATGAAAGAAAGGAAGATAAATGAATGAATAAAAGAATGAATAAATATACATACAAACACCCTTTAAAATAGTCATGGTGATTTTTCAAAAGTAAACAAACAAATAAACAAATATACAAATAAACAATATATATATATATATATATTAATTTATTAATTTATTCATTTATTTAAACTAAAAAACAAAATGGTCCCAACCAAATTTAAAATATACAATAACATGATTGAGAAAATCGCATTCATATGTATCTCCCTTTCTCTCTAACACACACAGACAGACAGACAGACCTCATTCTCTCTCTCTCACACACACAGACAGACATACACACAAACACACACACACGCGAACGCACGCACACACACGTGAATAATTAAAAATATTATTTTCCGAGAAGAAAATTTTCATATCGGTGTTAAATTGTTACGAACAATAACATCTCGCTATGAACAAATAAAGATTGGATTGAGATGGATGAATGGATAAATGAATGAATGAATGAATGAATGAATGAATGAATGAATGAATAAATGAATGAATGAACGAATGAATGAACGAACGAACGAACGAACGAATGAATGAATATTATACAAATCTTACCCAACTACCCATCATCATATTAGAAGTATAATCATAAAGTTCAGATCATAAAAAAATGTTTATGAAAATAAACAATTGAAATTAAATAAATTTTAATTCAGTGAAAAAAAACTTAAATAAATAAATGAAAGAATGAATGAACGAATGAATGAATGAATGAACAAATGAATGAATGAATGAACAAATGAATGAACAAATGAATGAATAAATATAAATAAATTGTTAAAATAAAAACAAAATGAACACAGCGTTGTGGTTCTGTAAGATATGCAGCTACGATTACAAGCCACCGATGATTTGTTGAGAGATAATATCAAGAGATTGATCGATAAAAAGAAAGAGGAGGGAGAGAGAGAGAGAGGGACAGAGAGAGAGAGAGAGAGAGATTGAAAGATAGGGAGAGGAGAGAAAGACAAAAAGAGGGAGAGAGATAGAGAAAGAGAGAGAGCTAGAAAGAGAAAGACAGAAACAGAAACAGAGAAAAAGGGAAAGAGGAGAGAGAGAAAGAGAGAGAGATTGACTGATAAAAAGAAAGAGGAAAGAGAGAGAGAGAAAGGAACAGAGAGAGAGATTGAAAGATGGAGAGAAAGAGGAAGGAAAAAGAGAGAGAGACAGAAACAGAGAGAGACAGAAACAGAGAAAGAGGAGAGAGAGAGAGAAAGAAGTAAAATAAATAAGTAAATATCAAAAATGAGAATAAGTTCAAGGTCAAAGGGAAATAACATAAAAAAAAACAACGCGTTCATTTATTAATACATTGTTAAGTAAAATGTTTATAACGTTGTATTTGTATCCATGTACATTGTATGTCTGTGTGCCTGCATGTGTGTGTGTATACTTGTGTGTATGTCTATGTACGTAAATATACGCGTTGAAGTATGGTTTTTTTTCATGTAGAAAGTAAAGACGTTAACCTTTATAATCAGCAAACTTATGTGTGTTATATGTGAACGCGAGAGAGAAAGAGAGAGAGAAAAGAAAGAAAGAGAGAGAGAGAGAGAAGGGGAGAGAGAGAGAAAGAAGATCACGTATACAAGCGTGTGTGTGTGTGTGTATGTGTGTCTGTGTGTGTGTGTCTGTGTGTGTGTGTGTGTGTGTGTGTGTGTGTGGTGTGTGTGTGTGTGTGTGTGGAGTGTGTGTGTCTGTGTGTGTGTGTGTGTGTATGCAAGGTTAAATTTAGTACAAGCATAACAGCAGAAGAGGCAGAAGTGCATAACAACAGAACCCCACTCCTTTGGGAGATGAAGTGAACAAATAAATACAACATCTGCAACAACATCTGCAACAACATCTGCAACAACATCTGCAACAACATCTGCAACAACATCTGCAACAACAACTGCAACTGCAACAACCACTGCAACAGCAACTGCAACAACACCTGCAACAATAATAACCACAAAAATAATAATAACAATAATAATAATAACATCGCAAGGACACTGCTCCCGATAAGGCTTGTTGTAATGAAAAAGAAAATTAACAATAAATAATAAAAACAAGATCTATATATGTCAGATTGTATATACATTATATACAGAGATAACAACAACAACACACGTTTAGACGACATTTTCCCCGAGATCGGGGGTTGCCGTTTGGCTACCTATGATGAAACCGAAATACCCCTCGACGCCATCCACATCTGTCACTCGCCTCAGTATCACGCAACCCCGCTTTCACCCTGTCCTTCTCCACCTGCTCTCTCCATCCCAATCGCGGACGACCCCTTCCTACCACTCCTTCAACCTCGAACTCCAACGCTCGCCTAATCCCGACCCTTTCATCCCTTCTCAACACATGTCCATACCATCGCAATCTCGATCTCATTATCAATGTCACAATGCCTCATTCAGTCCCATCATTGACATCAGCTCTGTACTACTCCTCCTATCCTTCACTTTAACCCCACACATCATCCTCACCATAACTCTTTCAGCCCTCTGCAGTACACTTTCCTCCTCTCTCCTCAACACCCAAGTTTCACCACCATATACCATCGCTGCTCTCACACATGCTTTATATACCCTCCCTTTCATCTTCACTGACCATTTCTTTCCACACAATACCCCACCCAGTTCCCTAAATTTCATCCATCCTACACGAACTCTAGCCGTAACTGCGCTCAAACATCCTCCATCCGCGTTCAGCTTACCCCCTAAGTAAACAAAGCTTTCAATACCACCACTCAACCCCGTCCTTGCGTCCGTCCTATTAATCACACCATGAACACATTTCTTACATTTGAACGTGCCTTCCACCTTTTTCAGTGCTCCCCTCACACCACTACATCTCTTATGCACCCATTTCTGACATTCTATACAGAGATATACATATATAGAGATATACATAGATATATAGAGAGATACATAAATATAAAGATATATATACGTGTGTGTGTGTGTGCGTGTATGTGTATGTGTGCGGGCGAGCATTCATATAAAACAATTTGTCCCGTAAATAGTCATAAACTATGATGATGGTGGTGGGTTGAAGGAAGAGGAGATAAAAATATGTTTATATATGTACTCTGTATGTATGCAATTGTATGTAATAGGTGTATGTTTGTATGAGTGTATGTGATTGTGTGTGTCTGTGTATGTGATTGTGTGTGTGTGTGTGTGTGTGTGTGTGTGTGTGTGTGTGTGTGTGTGTGTGTGTGTGTGTGTGTGTGTGTCTGTATGTTTGTATTAAATATTAAATATCTA